CCAACTCTCAGGTACGGATGGTACCTTGCAGCGGTTCAGCAAGTGTCCGAGGGCTTTTTGCGGGCCGCCAGGGGTAGGGGAACGGTCGTAACTGTGAAAAGGCAAAGAGTGACAACCAGTTGGAGGGACTTGCTTATCAATGTCGATCGCAACCCGAAAGATGGTTTGAACAGCCTTTCGTCGATTTATTTAGCAGCCTCCAGAACATGTCAATGCATGGGAACGGCCGGCCCTTATGATGATTGCCATGGAAGCTGCGAATCCTTCAAGCCACCAGCTCATTCCTGGCCTGCTAATAAAGCCACGACGGGCCCCCCGTGCAAGCAAGACTCGTTTCTTCGGCTGACGACTTACAAGCGATTCGGGTAATAGAAGCTTTCGACCAAATCACGGTCTGTAGGTCTAACGGTTCTGATAGGTCAGTTATGCGTTGGTCTGTTCAATGCAATAAAAGTTAACCAGATCGAGCGACGTTCTGGCCAGAAAAACGGGGCACCATTCTGTCTAGGCGGCGCGGTCCCTGACGCCTTCGCCAAAGATTGCCCCTTGCGCGGCAATAAGGCTCGTTCTGTGCAGCTGCTGTGCCGGCAGGTAGCCGCTACAAGGCGTTGCGAGGGGCAGCGTTACAATGGTAACTTTGTAACGATCACTAGAAGTTGCGCTGCTTCCCAAACGCCTGGGAGATGATGTAGATATCGCTTTTGTCTCGCTGAACGTCGACGTTGGATGAAAGACGTGTTGTGGTGTTGGGAATGTAGCCCCCAAGCCCCGGGAACAATCCCGCCATCGCGGCGGTCACCCAACACTCTACACAGTATCGCCAAGCCAATAAGCCACTGCGAGCCACGCCCCTATCGGCTCCGTTCTTCTAGGTCTCTCGTGTCCTTGTCAGCTATAGACCGTGAATCGACGCTCACATTGGATTACACACCTCTTCGACGGTCTCATCGCGAACGTTGGCGCGCGCGTGACTTATATTCTGCTCGACCAACTCAGCTCCAGCCAACACGTCAAGCCAGACATACTTCCTGTTCTGCGACTTGAAAGGCAGCTGTGGATATCAAGAAAAGGACGTGCGCCTTCTTCTCTCTCAACATCTTCCCGCTGTCGCCTCTTGTGGTGTTGCCAAAATTGCTCAATACCATCTTGTCAGCATACCAACACTAATGGCGATGTTGGCCATCCGCTGCGCGCGTATATGCTATCGAAAACAATCTGTATGCGCCCTCTGGGCGACTCTGCGCCCCTTTCTACCTACCTGATGCGGAGATTTTCTCCGCATGAAGCTACTTTGGAAGCTCCATCTTCCACAAAGGTCAACGGTGACTGCCCAACTGCAGCATTAGTGCTCACGTTCCGGCTCTCCACACCATCAAGGCGTGTGCATCCATCAACGCGCCGTTCATCAACACGAAGACATCTCGGCCAATGCGCATCTAGACTTGACTTTCCGGTCTACTACATGCGTGGCCATCGCAGTCGTTATTAGAGATCTTGCCAAAATCCTGGAATTCACATCGACAGGCTGCACTCTCAGATGACCCCATGTTCATGTCATTGAGCCTAAATTACCTCGTTCATAACAAGCCTGGCATATACTGATCTCCCGGCATCCGCAGGCTACGGGCGGGATAGAGGATTGTAAGGGCAGGGTCTGGGCTTATAGAGATGAGGAGAATGATGCTTCAGCTTGGAAGAGCTTCCAAGAATTGCTAGTATTACTACGTAGAATTGTCAGCAGGGAGGCTCTACTAAGCTAAACTAGGGTACAGTACTGCCAGCAATGCGTTTTGTATATAGGAAGCTGCCCTTGGGTACACTTTTCGCTCGGACCGAAACTTGTAGCGATCTCTAAAACTTTTAACAGGAGTAATGTGTTAGCGTGATATTTGGGCTTTACGATAAGCACATATCTCGAGAGGTAGCTCTAGGCAATCACTGCTCTCTCAGACGCTTGGCACCTGTATAACTTGGCGGTTGAAAAAAGAAGTTGCTTGTCAGACGTGTACTTCAGAACTCCACCATACAGTGACTTAATTTAGGAACGTTTTAAATCTCGGCCACGGCTATCCCCACATAGTTTAAATTGTGGCGCGCCAGACATCGGTATGTGACTCTGACAAGTTTGTTTGTATATGCGAACCTTGATAGCACACAGTGTAAGATAGACAGATCAGAAAATGTATCATGAGAAGCGATGTAGATGTGTTCTCGATCGGGACCAAAAGAGGTTCGAGCGCCATGGAGCAGATATCTTACGTAGCAAATAGAAAAATCTGTTTGCACCAAAGAACTCAATATGCTAATATCGATGCCTGTAAAGGTGGAGAAGTACCATCTTCGCAACTACCACACTGACCACATTAAGTATCCAGTTTCACGAGAGCATCAATATTAGCTGGAAAATTCCAGACTTTGGCTCCGATAGATAACGGTTTGACTATTAAGGAGATGCACCCCAAGCTCGATTCTACACTCCATACCTGGGGCCTGCGTAGGTTTCAGATCTATTCATCCGAGTATGTGCGCCACCTTAACACCGGGCACTTTACGAGATTGGCAATCTCGAATTCGATAGGATTTGACTTACAAGAGCTAGAAATGAGTCTGCAAGTATGGTGAAGACATGAGAAGGGAAAGCGGGATCAGCATCTTGTTCAGGGTAAAAGTTGACGGAGCTGGACTTGGAAAAACAAAGACTGGGAAAGATTTAGCATTGTACCTCAATACCTGTCATAAATAAAAGCCTAGTTCTGGTTGATGGTTCTCCGTATAGGTCTCAAATCAATGCAATAGGATTGGTTCGTACATCAAGTATACAGGTTGTAGTTGCAGCTGAGATCGTTGACCTACGACATCAGTAGGAACATTACTTAGACGGTCAGACTGAAGACGCCAAGTGTACACCCAGACCGATAGTTTTGGAACTCGAGAACTAATCGCCAGTATTTACGTGAGGCATTGCAGCGAAGAACATTATCAACTGCCATAGGTTGTCCGAGATGATCGCGAGGAATATCGATGAGCCGAGGTACTGAGAAGAAGGCGCGCTAATTGGCCTGACGAGCACGTACCGCAGGATTACTGTCTTCGAGCGGTTGAAATCGTCGTCTTTGGCTATCTTAGCGCGGCGTACGGATGTGATCTGTTGGGTGTGTTGAAGATGGACAAACTGGGGTGGTTCATGTAGATGGTAGGTACTGCCACAGGAAAAGACTTTCGCTGGCACGGACACCACTCTCGCTCCGCATCCGCATCCGCATCCTTGTGGTCGCGACGTCGAACAACCAGCACCCATGTTGCCAGCGGCCCGATAAACCAACGGGAAGCACCGATTCGCTTGCTACTAAGGCCGTAGATAGAGATACGCTGACGAGTCTCATGCAACGATGATGATTGTCCCCTCTTTTGGTGGGGTTTAGGCGGTCCGTCAGCACAGTGAACTTCATCTTCGACCGTGCCACTACTTGTGATACATCATCCATATTCTCTCTGCTAAGACACGCTACCACGAACATGGCGAGTCGATCGATCGTATGTGAATACTCGAACTCAGACCTGCGTAGCCCTGGGGCAGTCAACAGCTGATGACTGACGCGTAACACAGTTGCTTATAGCGCTTGCTATCCTCGCGCCATACGTATACGACCGCTACCTTGCGTTGTCGACGATATTTGGAAACAGACCTGGGAAATTCGAGGACGTCAACAACTTCAAGAGCCATGAGGTCAAGTTCCGCGATCAGCTCCGCAACTGTGAGGATGTGCTCTTCGAAGAGGGCATGGGCATTGCGTTCCTGAGTTGCAACCCTGGAAGAGATCAGTGGAATACCGTGATGGTGCGAAGCTTCCAATAAAATTTGCTCACAGAAGCGAAGTTATGTTTGTATTTCACAACCTAACATCTACAGGGCACATTCGCTCCAGCTCTAAGCAAACGAGGCGATGAAGACAACCCACATATCTGGATCTACGATTATTCAACGCCAAACACTCCTGAATCTGAAGTTCTCAAGCCGCTGGTTCTGACTGATTACAATAATGCAGCAGACTTCCAACCCTTGGGCATCGAGTTCGACGCCGCGACATCAACACTTTACGTCATTAACCATTCCCGGAATTCCGGAAACATCATCGAAGTATTTCAGGTCTCTGTCCAAGACGCAGTAGCGAAATATGTGCAAACATTGAAGCATCCACTGATCTATACACCCAACTCCATCCATTCTTTGGGAGACGGAAAACTACTAGTAACCAACGACCACTACATCGGGTCCCTCATCTCTCCGCTCATTTCGCAGGTCGAGACGTTTGCTGGAATTCCTGGGGGTAGTGTCGTATATACCGACATCCACAACCCCTCGCACACAAAGACGTTGGTCCGTGTACCTTTCGCCAACGGTATTGCTATGCTCAACTCGACGACCGTAGCTGTTGCCTCATCAGCGAAAATGGGAGTGAACTTCTACACTTTCAGTCCTGACACGATCAAGTTACATTTCCGAAAGTTCATTCGCGCTCCATCGAGCGTCGATAACCTTTCTGTCGACGCTTCTGGCAAGCTTCTTATGGCCGGCCATCCCTTTGCGCCAGGACTTATGAAAGTAAGCAAAGCTAGGGCGAAGTGCAATATTCAGGGATCAGAAGATGAGAAGCAGGCTTGCGAATGTACGGCGGCTAGCTTTGTGGCTGAGTGGAGCGAAACTGGAGGACTGAAAACGTTGTATAAGAACAACGGACAGGAGTTCTGCAGCAGTAGTACTTTTGCTCGGGATGTGGGAAGAGGTGTGGGTATCATCACAGGGTTGTACGATAGAGGCATCTTGGTGTCAAAGGACGATCCAACCACTGTGCAGTGAGGCTCAGAGATGGCTACATGTAGTAGATCTGTTGATGCGACGTGAAAATCTATCTAAGAAGTTACTGTATAGGCAACGAATAAACAAACCGACGTTGAAAGCTCTGATATAATGCTCATCCAACCCAGTGTGCTTTTGTCGCTCACTGCAGCTCCCTGAGCATTCTGTTCACATTCTTCTTCTTGTTTGGCTTCTTGTCCTCTGTCTTGTGCGCTATCCCAGTAGTTTCATCCTCTCTAGTAGTCTCATATTTCCTCTTGTGGTTGACTTTCAGCTTTACCACTAAACTCAGCCGCTTGCAGCTCTCGTCTTGCTCGCTAGTCCATGGAACATACGTCCATCGCCTCGCCGGACCCTGCTGATTTAGGGAATTACTAACAGCGTCATACCCCGAATCACCCCCATTCTCCGTTTTGCCGTCGGAAAGCGTCCACTTGATATGATGCTTGGGCATCTCATCTTTGCGCTCTATTGTTAGCGCACCATCAGAATGCACAACGACAACTTGGACATCCTCTGGAAATTCCGCGTCATGATTGGTAGAACGGAACTTGGACGGTAGATGGGTTGTGTGTGTTGAAGGGTCAAGGATGTAGTGCCCACAACCTCTAGGTTGTGGTTCCGGATAAAGTGGATACGACGGCGGAGCTACACTCTGTCAGTGTTGTGCTTTCGTACCGCCTGATCGCGATCATATTACCACAAAGCGCTCCCTTTTCAGTACGCGGTAGTCCCAGGCGCATGAGGCCAACCTGATCTTCTGACAAGAAGTCTAGTGGCACTCCATACAACTCGCAATATCGATCCCAATGGTCCCAGGTTTCGATGTAGATCGGTGGTCGATCACCTTGTTGCCTCATGCGTCGAGTGTAGTAATCTTTGCTTTGCGGTACACTACTCGGAAGCTTCTCGGTCACTACATCTGGCGGATTGTGAAGTGTCCAGAACGAGTCGTTGAAGGGAACTTGTTTGAACCACGACGGGCGCCAATGCAGTGTCGAGTTGTCGTTCAAGCTTGTAAGAACCAGTAGATCTTGCTGATGACGTTTGAGTAACAAATCGGCCTCTACTTCATCTTGTGTAGGATTCTTGGATGCCTGGCATCCCGATGTCTTAGGTGTTGGGGTCAGTGATACAGATGGTAAGCTAGTGGGAGTTGCGAGACCGTCTGTGGCAGTGGTAGGCGAGTATCTCAACGCTTGTGTTTCCGGGGTGTCGGGACCCGAATGTGGTGGTGTGTCGCGACTCTGCATGTTCGCAAAATTCCTACCCAACATCGAGATATGAGACTGTCGTAGCAAGACTGTCGGGTTCTTGACGCGAATTAATAGCCGGATTGTGAGTAGTGTCGGTGAGTGGTGAGTTCCCTAGTGCGCATACACCTCCATTGCTGTTTGTTTAGATCTAAGCGTCACAACCACGGGCACTCGCATGTTGTAATCACCCGACAAAGAATTGAACAGTCGACAAACATTTTTATACTGATTGGCTCTCATGCTATGGTTAAACTATCTATAGCTTCAAAGCACCATGAGTGGTAAGTCTCACCGACTCAAACCCTGCACAGCCTTCCATTTTGGGTTTGAACACCCTGCTCTCCATCTTTAACTACCCATCGCTCACTTCCAACAGCAGTGGTCGCGTAGAAAACATCAGTAGGGTCCCATTTCCTCTTTATCTGACTCAACTTCGGGTAGTAACCTCCATAGAACGACTCTTGCCAGTCGGGCTCTTCGACGCTGGCTTCGTTGAGATATGTGCCACCACCCTCGGACACTGGTGAGATATCGCGCCAGGGCTGGAGGATGTTTTCCTGTAGATCTTTGTTCGCGAGTTTGAGTGCCTCAGGTGTGGAGTGATCCATCGACTTGTTCGATGAGGTAACCATGAACATGCCGCATTCGCGCCATGCTGGGCTAATGGCGTTGTTGGTATTTGCGTACTTAACAGGAGTCTTGTGGTAGCCAAGGAGATGTTTACCAGCAGAGACATGTTCCTTGATCAGTGCATAAGTCTCATTGAACTTTTCCTGGAAGTTGCGTCGAGGGACGATGCGATTCGCCGGAAGCGAGTTATCCAGACCGATAGGGAAGCTGTTAGAGCCCCAAGCTGCCTGGTAAGCGGAGTAGAAGTTGGTGTGTGCTACGCTTGTATGAGGTTTCGTAAGCGTGATGTTGTTCGCGTCTAGGTAATCGAAAAATGGCTTTACAACCTTGTCGTATGATTCCGCAGTATGGTTTGCTGCGAAAAGGTACGCCATGCTGAGGAATGGTTGAGGTTGGTTGCCCATAATGAAGAAGCTGTATATGCCTGACTCTGCCCAGTCGAGGAAGACTTCATAGAACTTCTTAGTACCCTTCCAGAAGTCTTCAAGGCTATTGTTCGAAGCATCGAGATACCAGCCTGCAGTAACGACGTTTATCTTGGGGTGCACGCGAACGATGACCGATACGACGACGGCGAAAGTACCGCCACCGCCACCTCGAAGCGCCCAGAACAAGTCAGGGTTCGAAGCTTCGGATACAGTGATGAAGCGACCATTAGCTGTTACAACCTGAAATGCGACAACATGGTCGGCTGACATCCCGTAAACACCGGCAAGAGGATTTTGCCCACCACCAGTGATCATACCACCAGCCCACCCAACGCTCTGGTGTATGTCAGTCATCTTGATCAGGCATGATATCCTCAGCATTACTTACCCATGAAACGGCACCGAGAACAGTAACATCGTATTTGTCTGCAGCTTCATAGATTTGCCTAACGGTAACTCCAGCAGCAACCTTGAAAGCCGGTCCAGAATAGCCCGGACCTTTGTAGTTGGGGAGATAGTCGATTTGGTCCATGTTGTGCATCCATAAACTCAATGCTCCGGCACCAGTGGACTTTCCCAGATAGCAATGACCAGTGTTCTTGATGACTAGACGAAGGTTGGTCGCTCTTGCGAAATTGATGGCAAGCTGAATCTGCGCCACGTTGGTGACTTTGATTGCGTACTCAGGATATCCGCCCAGTGTGCACGATTTGCCGTCAGTGTCATTCTTAGGCATACATGTCCTACCCTGAAAGATGGGCCACATATCTAGACAGACAGTGTTACTAGACGGCTTATTTAAGCTTTGTAGAAGGGAATCACTCACTTGATGTAGGATCTGCATGATGGAATAGCGGATCCGTGAATTTGTTGGCAACTTCCGTACACTTTGCACCGTCTTTCTTTCCCCATTTCGAATCGTAGCATGAGGCAGCAATAGGCTTAGTTGGGATGAGTGCCCCGCCTAAAAGGACGTTGAAAATGTCCCAGACAATTTCCTTGGGCCACGCCAAGTCTCCAGGAAACGTCTTGCAAGATGCTGAAGCTGCGCGTCGTACACGCGCATCACTAGCAGCGGTGCTGTCGTCGAACGCGAAGTATTCCGCATACTCGGAAACACCCTGCTCGGTTACGAGCCGCTCAACGACGGCGTCCGTCAACTGTAGGGTCTCTGCTTCTTGAAGAGGTGCGCCTGCTACTGGAGTGGCTGGGACGAAAGCAGCTGCAGGTTCGACATCAGGGATTGAGGAGGATTGGCCAAGGACAGCCCCCGGAGAAATAATCAAGAAGAAGCACGTGGCTAGCCGCTGCATGGGTGCCATAGTGAGGCCAAGACGTGGAGAAGAAGACGAGGCAGATAAAAAGCACCAACGGAGCTTCGTCTTTTTATCTCATCCCTTTAGCCGTCCGGTAAGCATACTTTTGAGGATCTCTCACACGCTTCATGTGCATGATTCATGTGCAAGCGTTCTAGATGTTGCCACGGACTGCGATTAGCCATTGAGTGTCGAGTGGGGGATTGGTAGCGAAGGGATGTAGATGGTCTTACGCAAGGGACTGCATACAGCAGCCGGGCCTGATGGATCCGTGAGCAGATCGTCTCCTTGCCTTCAAAATCTATCATGGCTCAGTTTTGTTCTATCCACGCCAGAAAATGCAAAGATACTGCGGATTCGCGGCAGTTGTAAGCCAATTGAAACTTTCTAAACCCTGTACCAGCAGGAAGCAGCTCAATCTCTGCATGTTCCTGTAGGATGCTAGTTATGCCAAATTTACGAGTCGGACATGTAGGCCAATGGGGCAAGTTCATCTGTTCAGAAGCATTAGTAGCTTGGCGTTTGAAGGATGGAAGAGTATCAGACTTGTTCAGCTGTAGGATTGCGGCACAGTCCTCGTTTACGTTTCTCTTCCCGCCACTCAGATCCAAAACATCGATTTGCCAAGGACTACTTGAGAAACAAATTTCTTACTATCGTTATCTCACATCGGGATTATATGGAACGAGAAAGGTATTACATAATCAGTCGTAGCTTGATGTTGAGAGTAGGCGACTGAAGACAGAGCCTACCTAGGTAGCGTGCGGCACGGTTCAGGCTCGGCCCACGAGCCGCCCGCACTTCCAAGCCGCGAACGCCAATAGCTTGGTAGTGGACCCTCTCTGCTCCACTGCACGAATCAACCAGCTCAAGTCTCGTCACATCCTACATGCAGAATCCTACTTGGCCCTTCCAATTAGTGAGAGATCATCAACAACACCTGCTGAAAAAACCATGCTTGAAACAAGCTCCGTCAACAACTTCCGTCTCGAGATCCGTCGCACAACCTTGAAAGTCCTGGGGAAATGGGCATATGAAAGTCCCATTCTAACGTTACGAACAATGAGAAGTACCTTGTTGACGCCAAAGTCTGTGCGATCTATGCCCGCATAAGTTATTCATCCTGCTGGCAGTGTTGATCAGATGAACGAATGCAAGGGTTGAGGATGGATTCTCTGAGCCGTCTGCGGCTCGGGGCATCCGGAACAATACCAAGACAGCTCATTCGATCAACAGCTTTGTTCGTGGTAGAGGCACCGATAAACGTGACGAGGTGTTTGGCGGGAGGCAGAACGAGAGCTGACGTGGAAGCCATCTCGAGGATCTTGATTACATTAGTATATAGATTCTAGTAGGTTTGGGGGGCGAATTTACATCGCACTTCACATCCTCTTCATCTTGACCAAAGATTAAAGCCAAAGTCTCGTCATTGAAGAGGATGTGTAGACTCTAGTGGTGGAATCGGAAGCGAAAGGGAAGATGGGTGGTATCGACGCTGAAGAATAGCGCCTAAACCCCAATCTGTTATTGTGCAGAGCCAAAAAAGAGAGTTCAAACAGTACTGACAAAGTCACAGAACAAGCTTGCAGTTTCTGGTAGTATTCTCTCTACCTACCTGATGCTATGTATGTACATGGAAACTACTATCCCAGATTTGTGGGATGTATTTCCCTTCGTTTAGTACGTCATGCTCGCATATCTTCGTTATACGGGTCAGTCCAAACCCTCTACAACTCCTCCTTGTCGACACCCTCAATAGAGACCAGCTCAGACTCAAAGACTGCTTTGGGTTAGCCCATCTGTCCGTCGTGTGTCCCAGAATTCCGACTTACTCAAAACGCTGTTGGCGGGGATAGGGCCAGCACCTCGCGAGCCATAGGCCCACTCGGGCTGGATTGTGAGCTTCCTCTTCTCGCCAGGGCACATGTCAAGCAGACCCTGGTCCCAGCCCTTGATGACCTGACCGGTACCGACAGCGAAGTTCAAGGGGGAACCGCGGTTGTATGAGGCGTCGAACTCGCTGCCGTCTAGGAGTGTGCCGCGGTAGTGGACGTTGACCTTGTCGCCGACCTTGGTCTTGCGCGTGCACTTGGCTTCGGTAAGGACCTCGGTCTTGAGGTGCTGTAGAACATGTCAGTAAGTTGCACATGCTGTACAGCTTCCTTGGGTTACTACTTGCCTCATTGTTGACGATGTCAGCGACGGCGGCCGTAGCCAGAGCAGCGAGGAGGACGGTAACCTTCATCTTGACTTGTGGGTAGGAGTATAGTTTGATTCTGAGTGTTTACAGGTGTCTACAGAGCAAGGCGACGTTGCAATGGCGGTAAGACGAAGCCGAGGGTCCTTGTGGGGATGAATGCCAAGCGGCGATGTGGCCCCAAGTTATGCAGGGACCTCGCGGACGTCATTGGACGCTGCGGAGGATAGTTTTCCAATCGCAGCTTTACCATGACCTACCAACCATTGTCATCTTCACCATGTCTATTTCACCTAGCTGGTTAGAGCCTTTCGTGTCCAACATGTTTCCATCTGTCATAACTTGCAAGTTAGCAGATCAGACGACGAGTTGCAGGCTATTACCACGACTCACGACGACACATTGGGAAGCGTGGTGAGTCTTCGAGGCAGTATTAGCGACATCTCGCAGTATCCAACGTACACAAAGCCAATTGTATCATTCATGTTGAGCTTCCAGTAATAAGAAAAAGATGTTGTGAGTACCTATACAACTGACTCGTCCTCCGTAGCTGCATCATACAAGAGTAAGCCATGATGCCGGCAGCACTTCACTCACTTTACAACCAACTGCCAAAGCCACCGAAGAAACTTTTTCCTATTAAAGACACATGGATATAAAGATAACCAACAAAGTTATCAGGAGTGGTCCCAGGGCAGTCTAACGCCGTCCCGTCTCCAAATGATACATGAATCGAAGAGTTTATAATCGTACACCCATCCCGTCGTATGTGGCCCCTCCTCTTTCGCCGTCTTGCTCCCATAAGCAAAAACCAATCAATAGTAAACGCCCTTCTTCAAACCGATCATGCCCTGCTCCCTCCCCTCCGTCTTCACCTTCTTTAACCCAAAGTCCCCAACTTCTAAACCAGCAGCCTGGACGTCTGCATTTGTAAGCGTCCCGGCCTGACCTGCGGTCTTCCCACCCTTGCCATCATTACTCGTCTGCCTGGAGCACTGGAAGCTCCCAATTTCCGGCATATTAATAGCAATACCAGGAAAGGTCACCTGCTTGAGCGACTCTCCTGTGCACACAGCCGTCTTAAAGAGCGAGCATACAGTGCCTTGATCTGGACCGATTGATGCGATACCTCCGGGGCTACCTTGAATGTGGCATTCCGTATTGGGTTGCGTCCAGCTGCAGTCGCCAGCGAAATTGGGTTTTGTGCAAGTATAGTAGGCGCCAGGGAGACCACGACGGGAAAGGTGACGTGTTATGGGCGAGGCTGAGGTGGTGGTTGTGGTCGTGATGGTGAGCAAGAGGGCTATGAGTGCGATGGCTGTGTACATTGCTGGCTTTGTTTTTGGAATGTATGGGACGATGATTAAGAATTACTGGGTGGGTTTCTACGCCGTGCGTATAGCGTAGTGTGCGTATGGGTATAGTTCGTTCTTTGAAAGATCACTGGGGTAGATGTTTCAGATGCCCTTATGACAGTCGCTAGGTGTCTTTATGACGAGATCTTGGATTCTTGTGAGCCATCGGGTATGGTGAGGTCCTTGCGCATGTCGTACACAAAGGACTGGGTGGTTACGAGAGCTCGTACCTTGGAGTAAAGTGGCAGGGCGACGGTGCATCAAGCACAAAGACTGAACTTAGTCTCTTTGTCGCGAACGATAAACATCTACAAGGAGATGTGGAAACTGGTCGGCGTGGCTCCATGGCGAGTGACTACGCCACGAATACTCTTCAATGGGCCATGCGGAGACAAAGAACTCGTATCGGATATAAAAAAGTGAAAAAGTGCCAAAATATCCAGATACTAGGGATGTGAGAAGGTAATATGTGCCACGGTTGCTGCCGGGTGCAGCCCGCAACGATGGCGCGACATGGGCGGGCTGTTGCTGTGAAACGTCACTCCGGCGGGGCTAATGATGAGATGCGGCACTCTGGGACCAAAAGGGTCGCAGTCCTCGCAAGCCCATGTCCCAAATCATCTTACAGCCGTGAGCTTGCCGGGTCGGGGAACTGCGTTCGCCTGATCAGTGTCATCAATGTGTTGCCGCCAAGCTGTCGCCGATGCCGCCATCACCCACTTGAGTTGACAGGTATGACCAGGGGCGGTCGATTATGATCGTCAGGTACAAAGCCGTGAGGCTGCTGCGGGATGCTACTATTGGTGGATAGCGAATTGATATATCGCCTGGTCGTATCTACTAAGATTGCTGCTCTTTGCTCTGGTTCTCAAAGTTGGTCGTCTAGAAAGCAAGGTTGAGCGTGTATGTTGGAAGCATGATGACGCGCCTGCACCTGCCATCCTCTACGCGTCGACGCGCCTACCAGACCCACATTCCTGGCTCCGAACACTAAAAGCAAAAAGTCTAATACGACTTCCATTCCTCGCGTTGCGAATGGCTTCATTAAAAGCGAATACACGTAGTCATCATGAATAAACTCGGTCGTAATTTGCTTGCTTGTTCTACAATCACTCTAGGCACGGCAGCGGAGGGTCATCCTCGTTTAGCTCTAACAAGCCATCACATCTCATTTCCTTTTATCAAACCCGACACGATCTCCAAATGCTAACACTTACTTGATAAGCATTTCGTTCGAGAACGCGGCACTTCTTATGCATAAAGATACGCGTTCCACGATGAGTTGCGTCTTCCGAAACCGCGAAACCCCATGCGTTTTGTAGCTAGGGTCTTATCTGTGGGGTTCACCCGCACGTCAAACGAGTTTCGTAGTTGGCTTGCGCGGAAGAGCAGGGCCCGGCTGTGGTTCTTCCTATTGCGCCTGTTGGACGTCAGGTGGATCCATGGTTCCGTGTGCGAGTGTGTACTGCAACCTAGAGGTATACAACCTCTTCTGCAGATGCCCGTGTTGAGGTAAAAAAAACTGGTGAGTGCCTCCCAGGTGTAAATCATAATTTATTGTAGGTGAGAAAGCTCTCTCTGTATGCTGCAGGAGCTTTCAATATTCTCACTGGTCGTGTTCATCTGTATTGGTACAGCATTTTCCCGGCTATCACGATACCCGCTTTCCGAACCCGCATGTAGGTCAGTATACGCGACGCGGCTGTTCATTGACGTCTAGCCCTCTTGCGCGACCAATTCTCACTACCTTCTTGAGATGACGGACCAGGGTCCGATTGAACAGACTCGGGGAATCCTCGACCACCGGCTGTGAACTGGAAAGCTGGTACTGGAGGTGCCTCTGCCTCAACCTTGCGTTCTCGCCTGTGATGTCCTTGATTTGCTGAAGCAATTCTTCGTTCGTCTGCTTCATCCTCTCCATTTCCTGCATCTTGTCCTTGGGGTTCTCTTGCACACGGAGAAAGGCGTTTGCGTCAGCTAATCGCTCGATCTTCTGATGTAGGACAAGGACTCGGTCTGCGTGCGAGGCCTGCATCTTGGAGACTTTGGTCTCGTTCTCAGATCTGAGCGTAGCGATCTCGTTGGTCAGACGGTCGACTTTGTCTTGGAGGTGTGGCGATGGTGACTTGACGGTTCGGGGCTGGGCGGGCTCTGTGCTTGGCTTTCGGTCTTGTGCCGTTGGTGTAGACAGCTTTGCGACCTGTTTAACAAGAAGATTCTCATACGCCTGCTTTTGTTCCTTCAATTCCTGGTGGTGATCCTGCTGCATCTGAAGCATTTTTGCTCCAACCTGCCTTCTGAATGTGTCCATCTGTTTCTTGTGCTTGTCTTCAACAACCCGATCGTAGTCCAACTGGTTCTGGACATATTAGATCCGTTTGTGCTCGGCTGCCTCAGTCGCGAAGATTACTCTAGTCAAGATGCTATGCCATCCCCTTATGTTATGTGCCAACTCGGGACCAGCTGTGGCTAACTTTTCAGGATCGACCTCCTCTACAGCTTTCGCGCTGTCCTTCATGGTATCGAGCAGAGAATAGAGTGCTGTATGTGGCGCGGTCGAACTGGACGTATAACTATTACCGATATACTTGTATGAGTGACCTTGAGCCGCATGATTTACTGGTTTCTCATTTGAAAACAGCGACATGATCTTGGCTTCGGCAATATCGGAGTCGTCCCGCTCTCCCAGTAGGGGTGAAAGCAGGGTCGTAACGTTAGGGTCTCCAACATGCTCGCCCAGCGAGCGCGCAACGGCTTCTGCAATGTCGTCCTCCTCATCCTTGATGGAACTGTGAGTCTCTGAGCTATCTGGTGCGTCTGACTTCTCCTTGCCCTTTCCAGGTCGTACAGAAGGCTTCTTCAGCATTCCTTGTCTGCTCTGCGATCCATTGGCATGTGGACGATTCACTGCTTTTATGGTAGCTCGCGCCGCCGCCCTGAACTTAGCGCCGTCGCTGTGGGTTCCACGAGTGCCGCGACTGATTCGATCGAAGGCCGCCTCGCCCCTGGCTTCGTTGTCAACATCGTGAATAGTCGCACCCAGTTGGTGTGGGGTGCGAGCGGAGTTAGAGTAATGGCTGTATGTTACAGGTGGCCGGGGTCTGAAGACCGGTACACAATGTCAGTCTACGTCTCTCACGCGGTTCATAGAGGGATGCTTACGGTACACCAGAGGGACCGGCTGGCAGTTGCGGATACATTATCCGATATGGTCGTGTCGGGTTGGTCTTAGATTGCAAGATATGTTTCGTAATCGAGGTGGAAGTCGATTGTGAAAGTTGATGGGTTGAGTGCAAGTTGAGCGTGAGAAGTGGTCGTAGGAAACCGTACGTAAGTAGAAAGCGACCAAAGGCGCCGGCGAGTGAGAGAAACAACTACTATCCACAATAGGAATATTGGATGACAACATGACGCGATTGGCAGACGACGTGGGACTACAATAGCCTCCATGAGCAGGTAACCAGAAGTGAAAGTGAAGGTGAAAACCTGTACTACTGACGTTCAATGACACTTGCCATTGCGCCTAATCATACCATCTGCCCTCGATAGGGCCTCTCTATTGCTTATCATACATGCGCAAGTCTTGATCGTAGATGCTGCACTTCTTCTTTCGTATAGTCCCGGATCTGTCGAGGATCTTACCACCAACACTTTACAGTAGTATATATATCCTAGTTCTTCTCATTCTGAGCTGCGCGTGGGTACTGGTAGTGTCTTGGGAGAATGATGGGTCGTCGGCTCGCGCTGTTGAAAGCTTGTGTGGCGATGGGCGAGCTGTCTGTCCTGATGGTGGTACCGATGGCCATGAAGAAGCTGGGATACATATAAGCATGTTGCAGTGGGAATGTCGAAGCATAATCATGCATACCCAAAGGTTGCTGCCGATCCCATCATGTACTGACCCAGTGTGCGCAGCATTCCGTTAGGTCCAGGGCCAAAGCGGACGATGTTGGTGAATCCTACAATAGTCAGAAGGGAGCATTTCCCGAGAATGTTTGGGATGGCGCGCACCGAAGATGAAGCCGATGATCAATCCGACAGCTGTCAAAAAGTCAGCTCATGCAATCCCCGGGCTGCCATGAAGCGTACATCCACCCATCATGCCACCCATCTTCACTATGCGCTGTTAGCTATTGCCAGGCGCGTGCAGATACAAAGCCCTACGCTTGTCTAGTGTTGAAGGGCCGTGTGCCCCTTGGGGCATTGAACCGACTGGTACCGGCATCGTGAAGCTCTGCAAACGTCGAGGTGGTGAAGGAACTCAAGAGGGGAACTTTGATTGTCCCACTTGAAGCTGCAGTCTCGCCGCGGCTCAGTCAACGCCAAGGAAAGAAGACGGAAATCCGGGGAAAACACCACCATGGATGCACGAGGCAGCTAACACTGGGCATTATCAACATGGCGTTAGCGCGTCCAGCGCAGCTGTACGCAAGATAATAGAGTCAGTCTCGACTCGCATTTCTTTGTGGTTGCTACCAACTCTCCCAACCTGATGTAGCGGCGCTTGCCGATTGCGCACGTGACTCTCTCTCAGACAGCTGGCTGGCCCTTTCACTGGCCGGCTGCAGGTGCGGCGGCGTAGGAATGAAGCGAAATAGTGCACCTGGTCCAGAGCAACAACGATAGTTGTCTCGTCTCGCAGTGGTTTTTTGATCCGTGCAGCCCCCCTTCTCCACGTCGCCATTACGCCTGAGCCCAGGAGCCGTCGTCTCGCCCACCTGGCCAGTAAGCGTTGCAGCGTGCCCAAGGCCGGAACAAGACCTCCTGCTCGTCGAAACACGCTGGAGGCTCCATCCATACCGCCCACCCCAACCCATCGAGCAGTCTGCCTGGTGGCCTCGACTGATATTCACGCACTTGCTAGACCGTGCTGCTGTGCTTTGCGCCCGTCTGCAGCGCCTTGCATCGCCCTAACGTCCCACGGGCTCTCTACCGACAGCACACGACCGAGACGACGACGGCGGCAGAGCCACCAGAATCCCGCCCGCGACGCATTTCCAAGACCCGCCTCCATCGCGACGCATGAGTGCATGACCGGCCTCGCCATCTCTCCTGCTGTTGTTGTCGCTTGCTCTCGGCGTCGTCACGCTGGTGTCGCGCCGCTAAAAACGGACAAGACGGGAATCGTGCAGGAAAAGTGACCGGACACTAAACACGCCCACCTCCTTCCCAGCACACGACCTCGCCAATGACGGCAGTTGCGCCCCCCGTCAACTATCAGAACATCAATCGGCAGGCATGGAGCGCTGAGGGCGTGTCCAACGGAGGTGGCATGTTTATGCCTCGGAAGAGCGCTCAACGTTCCAACTCATCGTCAAGCCTCTCGTCACAGGCGTCTGGCACATCGACCATATCCGCCTCATCATCTGCATCACAGCCAAACGGCACCCCGCAACAAAACGGCACCGACTGGGCTGCCACCCGCAAACCGAAAGCACCCAAGGGACTATGGCCTGCGACCAAGACTGAGCCCATCGCCGGAATCACTGCTGCACGACCCCAACCCATCGCGTCGGCAGGCCCAGCGTCATCAGCCGCCTCGGCCATGAGTGCCCTGCAAGCACCTTCCGCCATGGTTCCCTCCCAGCACAATGGCCAAGTACAGGCCCAGCAACAGCCCAACGGGGCACAGCGCGCACAGGGTCAGGAGAGCACCGCTGTACTGCATCTCGTCCCCATGAATGGCACCTTTGAGCGCAAGACTATCACCGTACCTTTCTTCCCCGACGTTCTGCGCATTGGCCGGCAAACGAATAACAAGACGATCCCCACGCCACTCAACGGATACTTCGACTCCAAGGTACTGTCAAGGCAGCACGCCGAGGTGTGGGCCGACCGCCAGGGCAAGATATGGATCCGAGACGTCAAGTCGTCCAATGGCACTTTCGTCAACGGCTCCCGCTTGTCACAAGAGAACCGAGATTCTGACCCCCACGAGCTGCGAGAACAGGACATGTTGGAACTCGGTATCGACATCGTCAGCGAAGACCAAAAGACTATTGTCCACCACAAGGTCGCTGCGCGCGTTGAGCATGCTGGCATCTACGCGCGAACCAGTAGCGAGATGATCGACCTCAACTTTGGCGAACTCGAGGGGCCACAACTCTCCAATATCATGGGCGGCAACCCCCAACAGCAAATGGCAAACATGCGTGGTCGCACACCCAGCCAAGGCTCTATGAACGGTCAGCGACTCCAGGGCCCAGGCGCCATGGCCAACTACCCAAACGCTCTACAGCAACCCCGACACCCTAACTTCTGGCTACAACCGATCACCATGGAGCAGGTAGTCAAGAAGCTCAACGTAAGTCTGGCGTGTCTGCTCAAATTAACCCCCTGCTAATTGTAGTAGACCGAGATCAAGGCCGCAAAGCAACAGTCGCAGGACCTTCAACAGACTCACCAGTACATCAACGCTATCCTCTCTACAGACACCAAGAAAGAACCTGTCAAGGCTTCGCCGATCAACCAGGTCAGGATATCTCCAATCAAAGACGGTAGCATAAAGGCGAGATTCTCAGACCCACCTGCGCCGCCTCCACAACAGCCTTTACCTGAAAAACCCGATGTCGCATCCTCTCTCAGAAGATCCGATACCGAGCGTCCAAAGACTGCGTCCCCAGTCCGCTCTGATGCACAGTTGTCCACACTTACAGAGGCCCTGACCAGTGCGAAAAAAGAGATTGAAACACAGGGAATGCGGCTACGAGACTTGGAAACCTTGTTGAACGAAGAGCGTCGCGCAAGAGAAGATGCTGAAGAGCGAGCGGCCCGACTCGAACGCGAAACAAACAAGGACCATGGAGATGCTGAAACTGTGGTTGGTGACGATAAGACACACGAGCCTGAAGTAGCTGACGCACAGCGCGAAGAGCTCACTGGATCTGAGAACGGGTCCGCATCTCCCACTAGTGCCGAGGACACCACCACTCGCTTGCAGCAACGTTTGGAGGTTATGATGTCCGAGATGAACGAGATGAAGCAGCAGATGGAGCGGTATAGGGAAAGAGCCGAGACTGCTGAAGCCGATCGCAAGACTCTGGCAGAGATGATCGAGAACATCAGAGAAGACAATGCAAAGACCGCTAGCAAAGAAAGCCAACGGCGAAGCAGGAGCAACAGCGCGTCAACAAGGACGACCACCAAAACTCTCGTTGAAGGATCAGACGGCGAAGCTGAGGAAGGCGAAATCATGATCATCAAGGAGAAGGACCTTGACGAGGACGGCCCAGAAGTGTCCATTCCCACCAAAAACGAGCAGAACGGGCATGCTGTTGGGTTGAACGGCTCGAAGACCACGGGGAAATCTAATTCCTTGGTCGCCCATCGGCCAGATCGAGACTCCATGTACTATGGCGGTCCGGTCGGAGCCATGGTTACAGTCGTTGCAATAGGTGTCGCAGTCATGGCCATGCTCAACCAATATCCCAAGGCTGAGCGTTGAAGAGGTGCATAATAGTCTTCTATCACTACGTCAAGAGAAACTGGCCTTGTGAGGGCAACATCACAGGGTCGAGCCCTTGAGGAGCGTATCGTACGTCAAGGTTCGAGATATCGTTCTTACAAGGTTGTGCTCTCTCTTAAGCCGACATACTACGCTACGCCACGATACCCGCTTCTGGACTGCTTGCGACAACATCACTTGGATGTCCGGGACCCAGTGTTGTATGATAGCAATGCCGCCCACGGGAACATTGTAGTTGCGATGGTTCAAGATAGAACTGTCTATCAAAATTGTCTACGCCATCACTATAGTCCATTATGGGACACCGGGAAGCCGAGAGGTACCACCGTATCGGAACACCACAACATCTTTCTTTTCCATTCCAGCGTAATTTAATGGGAGGTGCATCGGCTTGTTTTCCTATCGGCGCTCAGGACGGTGTCATCTCTGGCCTTGCAGGCGTACTTTCGTTGGGAACTTTCGGAAGCATTGCAGGACTCTCTAGTCCAAACAGTCATTCACTGCGGTCAGCGAACGATGAGCATTTTCCTTTGTAGCAAACACGACTAGCTTTTCCTTTTTCCTTTTTCCTATTGGGACTTTGGGAGTTGGATGATACGCATGAACAGGCACATAGTGTGGGAGCAAGTGAGCAAGCAGGAAGAACCTTTTCACACACTTCAATGATATATACTTGATTCCTTCTCATTATGCTTTGACTTGGAATATGAACTCGTGACTGTGATCAATGTTTCATTGTTTCGAATGTTAGGTGCTCTCGTTCGCTACTATGTAGCTGAGGTGTGTGTGTGGGTATCTACATGTTTGACTTTCCGCCGTGCAACTCTAATCCTCGCCTATATTCGTAACTTCACTTCAGTCCAATACTAACAGTGACAGAACTTAATGTGCGTATCCTTGTCTCCGGTACATCATCTGCTTCTGCCTCGTCCCCTGGCTCTCCTGGTCCCTCTTCTCCTCTTGCATCCCGACTTTCAACCTCAATATCATCAATGGCACTTACGTTACCCATCTCAATCTTGACCCAGCAATCCTCTTCGGACTGGAAATGTAATCCCAGTTCCAAGGCCCTCGGAATCGCTCGTCCTGTTGCTTTGAGATAGATTTCTTCCCGTCCTTTGTCTTTGCCTTGCCCCACAATCCCTCGTTTACCCACATTATTATTACTGCTACCTGTCCTGCCCATCTCTCCTACTATTTCTGCTTCTACATCTCGCGCTTCCAGTCGTCCGTTTGCTTCTGCATATCGTCCGCCTCTTCCTCTTGCTTTATTCAGGGAATTTGCGGATTGCTTCTCGCGCTTTACAACCTCATTCAGCAACTTGCGCACGCGCTTCACGGTAGGTATGTAGGGTGTCGTGGCAGTTATGTAGAGTGTTTTCGCAGAGCCCGACGAGGAGAAAGGCGAAGAGAGTGGGGCGTGGAGAAGTGGCCGAGTGACAATCTTTGTGTCTGAGAAACATTAGACTGGGTCAAAATATCCGCGCAGTGATGGGTATACGTACTTTTGGGAAGTTTGGGGAGTTTTTGGCGAAGTTTGGCATTCGTGGTACGTGGTTTGGTGGGTTGTTTAGGGTGTAGAGAAGTCGGAGAGGGTTTCTTCGTGGAAGGATTCGGTTTTGAGGTCTTCTCTTGCTTCTCTGATGTGCTGATCGACGAAGTGGTCTCGCTGGATGGTGGTTGCGGTTGCCCGCATGGAGGTGTTGCGTCTGTCATGGCTACATCTTCCGGCTCTTGGAGCTTGTTCTGAGGCTTGGCTAGCCCATTTATTGATCGCTTGACTCCCGCCATGGTAATGTACCGGTGGAAAACAGATTCCGTAATTGCGTGTGACGGCCTGAGGGTTTTGGCGGTCGCAAAAGTCGAGTCGCGTCGCGTCACAAAAACTTATCGATAAGTTGGCTGCAGGGGTACCCGCAGCTCGGTAGCTCCTGCCTGCTCCCCCAAGTCCTCAGATCCCCGAAGACCGTTAGGAACAACACCCAATCAATAGTAATGGCCAGCTCTATTCGCCAACGACTCCAACACATCCACCTTCCGGGCCCTGTTCCCTACGCGACAGCAGCCCGCCTCCAGGAACTCCTCGTATCGCGCTTCCTCGCCTCGAAACCGCCATCCAATGTTCCCCCACCAGCACCACACATCATAACTGCCGAGTTCACCCCTGTCTACACTTGCGGTCGACGAGAGATCGGTACCGTTTCACCAGAGCAACAAGCCTACCTCCGCAAACCCAACGACACAAACATTCGCGCAGACTTTGTCGAAGCTCTCCGTGGCGGCCAAACCACCTTCCATGGCCCAGACCAACTAGTTGCCTATCCCATCATCGACCTACGTACGCATAAGCTTACGCCTAGACACTATGTCTGTCTGTTAGAGAAAAGCCTGATAGCCACGTGCGCAAAATACGGAATTAAAGCCATGACTACAGAGAACACGGGTGTCTGGACGACTCCGGATGACAAGATTGCGGCGATTGGAGTTCATATGAGACGCAACATCACGAGTCATGGAGTTGGGCTGAATGTCAATACAGATTTGTGGTGGTTTGATAGGATCGTTGCGTGTGGATTGGAAGGGAAGAGGACGACTAGTTTTGCCAAGGAGGGGGTGGTGGGAAAGAGTGTTGAAGAGGTTGGTAGAAGCTACGTGGAAGAGGTGGGAGAGAGGTTGCTAGGCGTAGAGGGTGTGGAGAGAGTTGGGAAAGAAACGGTTGATGAGTTGTTGGAGATCTCAAGAGGCGGATGAAGGTTTTCGATGCTACACTAACTTGAAGATATGACAGCAGATGCACGACAACCAGCATATTGACATGAGACTGCTAGCCAACTGACGTATGTTGAAGGAGATGAGAACCTAGCAAGGTAAACAAACTCTCATAGATATTCTCAGACAGGACATCCGAGTTGTAGTCGTGCCGCTCGGATGTGCCATACCGACACCCGTTACTCCAGGACATGAGCCTGAGCTGCATCGCCACCATGGCAGATAAGATCAGCGGTACCTGGCTCTTCATGAGAAAAGAGGTAATGCCATGGCCAGAACGACCAACGTCGACGTCAGTAGTACGTAAAGTAGAGAGGAATGGGTAGAGTCAAAACAGACCGAGGGCTTCAACTGGAATCTAAATTTACGTCAAATGACAGAAGGGTATAAAGCGAACAAGGACAAACAGGCGGATTGTCGTACACGAAAAAGAGAAACGGTATAAAACTACAAGCTCGATCCAGCCCATCGTGACTCATAAACGTCTTCGCTCCAAAGCTTAGAAAGAAAAGGAAGGTTTAGCCCTGCCAAACATTCAGACAGCATGAGAGTGCATCTCCGACTGTCTGAACCGCCACCACTTCTTCTCGATATCTCCTTCTCTCAAACCTCCCTCGCTTCCCCGATCAACACTTCTCGCACCTGTACTTCCACTTCCCCTTGCAATGACCACTGATGTGTTTCCCAAGGTACTCTCTACGTCCGCGTTCCCTCCACTTGCCACCCCGGCAGCGCCACCACGATTCCGCCACTGACTAGCCTGTAACTCATACACATCTTCTTTCTCACCTGCCAGTTCCTCCAGCCTCGCTCGTTTTGATTCAGGAACGAGGAAGCTTGTCAGCATGCCCAGGAACATGAACAATGCAAAGATTTGCATCACACCATGAATCCAAGGCGTAGGATTATCGTGCGTAGCTCCTCTCTTGATCATGGGCGCAAAGAAGATTTGGGCAAACACTGCGCCTAGCTTGCCCATGCCAGCACTGAAACCATGGCCTGTGCATCGTACTCTTGTTGGGAAAATCTCCGCTGGCGTGATGAATGTTGTGGCATTCGGTCCAAAGTTGAAGAAGAACTGTGCTAGTACGTAAAGCACTAGTAAGTGGGTTTTAGTGAGTCCCTGCCAGGCGAAGCCAAGGACGCAGAAGATGATGGTCAGGATTCCGAAGCCAGCTATTTGAATAGGCTTCCGACCAACGGAATCGACAGTGAAAACAGTGAGCCAGTAGCCAGGCAGGGCACCGGCGCAGATAAGAACGATTTGGCCCGTGGCTGTGTTGCGCAGATAGAGGTATAGGTTGTCGCGTTGATCGAAGCCCATCGTGGACATTAGAGAAGCGGAGGAGAATCCGAGGCCGTAGAAAGCTAGGTCTAGGAAGCTATCTGGATGTCAGCTACTTCTGCAACTGTATGGCCAAATTGCATAAACTTACAACCAGGACATAGATGTGCCGAACAAGCGAATAGCTTGCTTCTTTTGCGAGTAGAAGCGCAGTACTTCCATCAATGTAGGTCGCGGCGTCTTGTATTTGGCCATCTCACTGCGCGTCTTCGCTTGCGTGACCGGATTGACCACATTTCCTTGCTTTCCGTAGCGGTATTTTCGCGCATCGACCGAGGCCTTCTCGACATCGTACAGCACGTCGAACGTGTATCGTGGCGTTTCCGGTACTGTGAGCCGGTAGTAAAGTGCGAACCATCCGGGGATGCCACCAAAAGCAATGATAATGCGCCACATTTTGTCGACACGCATGGCACACTGCCCCACACATTCTCCAACATTGGCTACTCCAATTAAATCGTCTTTGAATATTATGACTACAATGAGGGTTACCAAGGCTGCTGCAAGTTGGCCAAGGCCTTGCATGGCGAAGACGGCTGCGATAATACCGCCTCGGTATTTGGTGCTGGCGAACTCTGCTGTGATGACCGCACTGAGGGGATCTGGAGTAGTGGTCAGTAAAGTAAAGGCTGAATGTTGCGTTGCAAGAGCATATTTTGAGGGATAGTTTTCTTCCTCTTTGCTTTGATCGAGCCTCAAAACATTCGAAACCGCGAGAAATTCAGTTTGTACTCACAGTCGCCGCCGACACCAATCCCCATTACAACTCTGTAGAAAATGAGCACACCCACGATTGAAACAGTGGCTGATTCTCCGCAGAGCGATTGTGCAAGTGTTGTGCAGATGATGATCATCAACTCCACTCCATACATCTTCTTTCTTCCTAACAGATCGCCCATATATCCGAAGATGCATTGGCCGAAAATGGCACCAGCGGATGTCGCGACTTTGATCGCTGTATCGGCATCATGAGGCATGACTCCCTTGTGTTCGTCATCCTGCCAGTATACAATTCCTAACAAGATGACAGCAAGGTTGATGGCAAATAGCTGGAGATGTTAGTTAACTTTCAGCCTCACCTGTAATCTTAACCACCAAACTCACACTGTAGGCATCGGTAAAGAACCCAATTCCAGTCACAACCGCTAGGCGTATATGGTACCATCCAAACGGTGCTTTATCTACCTCAGCGAGGGCCATACGCCGGCGCTCATTAGGGTCCGCGATATGGGTCTAGTAGCCTAGTTAGTTATGAAGTGAGAAGATAAGGCTAGGATCATCATATACATAGACTCCGGGCACATCTCGGTAAGCTGCGTTTCCCACCCGTCCAAACGAAAACATGAGTGGCAAAGGAGGTTGATGCTCTGGAGGGAAGTGAGCGCCGCAGTTCGACGACGTCCATGAGAGGATGAAATGACGGAAGGCTATGTCAGCCCGAGAGCTGCAGTAGGTACAAAACGCAAGTAAGGCTGGTCGGTGGGGCAGCTGTCAGACGAGACATATACTGTATTGCGTTACGATATAAGGCCTGCAGCAACGTGCTGCTGCATGGCCGATATTCTTTTGGGAACGCCAGGCCCAGGCCGAGAATCCGAGATGTTGAACCGTGAGGGACCTGATATCATGCCGCTTGACATCAATTGGTAGAAGGCCCGAGATAATTCTGGACAAGCCTGTTGCGATCAAGTTCGGCAGCACATGCCACAGGGGAGGCGTTGAGAGTTGCACCACAGCGCGCGTTCACGTTTTCTCGGTGTCGCTTATGATTGGTTAGTCGAACCCAAACCCCAAAATACACCCATGTCGCTTTCGATACTGATGGCACGCCCTGTGTTCCTGTTGGCCAGTATCTTCGTAGGAAGACTCGAAAAGAGCTCAATGGAACGATGCCACGCCCGTCAGGGTCTGGGTGCCATGGACCGTTCTCTTGGGATACGTCCATGCCATCGTCTAGTCTGGGGTAGATGGTGAGAGAGGTGCACCATGTAGACTGCTGATCAATGTTCAACCAAGCACATATCCGCGTGGGGGGTAGTAAGTCTGGACTGACTGACTCAAACCGCGATCTGCGTTATTTCCAATCATACTGGACTGTGGCTGGCCATGTGGGCATAAAGCATTGGTGGCGCTTCTAAGTCTTCAGCCTTCTCATCCAGAGTGTGTGGGAGAGGATGGAATGTGCGGCAATGAATCTGTGGTCGGCGTCCTGGATGGGCTTGCATCGACAAATCGTTGTGGGTTCACTGGTAGGGGTGACAAAATGAGCGAGTCGTGGATCTGGCAACGTGCGCCAGGTAGCAAGTCATAACGAGACTTAGCAATACCCAAGACTGTAAAGCTAACTTTGCAAGAACTGCGGGCCTGCCCAGGAGAAGTTTCACTTTGGCAGCTTCGACTTCCCGATTCGATCCCGCTATTAAGCTCAGCACTGGGCTTTCGTTCCTAAAGACCTCTAACATCCTCTCGTTCGAAATCTCAAAACTATCGGTCGCACAAGTTCGGCATCAGCATAGGTCTCAAGCAGCATGAGCGCTGTGATGGATAGGAAGACAACAAGCACTCGATACCGAAGCTCAAAGAAACCCTTCGTCAAGACTCAGGCGGGTATGCATTTGCTGTGTGCGAGATCTCTGGGAATGGTCTATCTCGTCCAGGTAACTGATGACTTTCGTAACCTTCGAGTACGGTGCTTGGTGACTGCGTTTTATGGCATCTGGCAGCGATGTGGCTTGTAGGAATAAACCTAAGGCTTCGCGCACCGTTAAGAAGAAATCGCGGCTTGTAGAAGAGTAGTATTGAAACACCTGTAGAGCATAACGCTGTAGCTAGCTGCGAAAATAGTCGCGATCTGGAAGGCAGTCATGACGTCCGTAAAGAGATGGCTAACAGGAACGTATTATAGACGGTCCATGTAGCAAAGGTCTGCCCTTTCAGTAACAAAACATGTATACACTTTCTGTGAAAGATAAAAGAAGGCCGAGAAGGGTGAAGTTCCAATAGTGACGTGTAGCTCTGGCGATGTTCAAATTCAAGTTCAAGTTCGTGTTCTGGTGTTGCGCGCACCACTTGATCAAGTGGAGCTATCGGCACCAGTCCGTAAACGGCTAGCCCCACACACGTTCGAAATTGTGTCTCGCTAAGCACATGTCGATTTCGCTCTCGCACGACGAACCCGCGACAACTCCCACCCTCGATACTAACAACAGCGTCACCAGGTATGATGCTCCACTGCACTCTACAGACAATCGATTACTGACAGTTCTTGCATAGTCCCCAGCCAAAATGAGTACGCCAGACTCCCATCCACACACGCAACCACGAGCTTCGAGACTGACTACGATATAGCGAAGGGTACCTCCAGTTTCGGAAAGCGCCACAACAAGACGCACACGCTCTGCAGGCGTTGCGGTACGTGATATCTTCCTGGATGCTGGCATTGGAGATGCGAAGGCATGGACAGAGGGACAAGGGCTGATTTCAACGTTTAGGTCAACGATCCCTTCACATCCAGAAGCACACCTGCGCCTCATGCGGCTACCCTGCTGCTAAGACCCGCAAGTGTACGTTTGTCTGAGACGCGCGCACCGAGAACGAAGATTAACATTGGACAGTCAACTGGGGCGAGAAGGCCAAGCGAAGGAAGACCACCGGTACCGGCCGCATGCGATACCTCAAGACCGTCAACCGCAAGTTCAGCAACGGATTCCAAACTGGCGCTCCCAAGGGCTCCAAGGGCCCCACCGTCAAGTCCTCGTAAACGTATCAAGCATAAGGTTGACGACGAGGAGGAGTAGAGGCGCGATGAAGGCCATTCGGACGGGTGCATGATCGGAAAGCGGGTTCTTATAGGCAAATGGTATTGCTCGGCATGGGGCGTTCTGTCATCCCTCTCCCGGTTGCTGTCCATCCCACATGACGAATGAGGATGGCATCACCGTTTGAGCGCATAGCTCTGGAGGCATAACTACGGAAAATTCATCATGTTCTGTCACGAAATGAAAGCATGAATCAAGCCACAGAACGTGTCAATTGATGCCGATGAGAGGAGACGTACTGATCAGCTAGAGAAAATCGAGGCTTGCCGACGATCGTTCCACCGATACACCTAGCGAAAGACGGAACCATTCACGCTTTGTATCCTCAAACACTAGCATGCACACGGATGCGTGGCTGATACCTGCGATTTACCACTCGAGTGCAAGACAATCATACCAGCTACAGCCCTAGGCATAACTCGATCGTTTCAACATTCCACCAACAACTCACCTTGTTCATGTTGTTGTTTTGCTCGGCTCGATAATCTTTCCAACCAAAGGGCTTTTTGTTAACATGCCAAGCTAACTACCTATACAAATCTTATGCATCATTAGGACCTCATACACCGTGCCTCTAGTTGCCGAGGACAACAAATCCGCCACACCATCAATCGCTTCATGACTACCCCTTCAGAACCATCTTCTCTCCTCAATCTTAGTCCACCATCTCCCTGTCTCGCCTTCCTCTCTCGGTCCCACGAATTCTAACACCTGGTTGCCTTTCCCAATCCTGATGTCCAAATCGAATATGTCGCTCGCGGTTCTTCTCTCATCCTTTACGCCCAAGCAAAAGCTAGCCCTCACGCGCACACCACTCTTCCTTTCCTTGGCTACCTCACTCAAGAAAGGTCCAATGTCTCTCGCAACACGATACGCGAGCGCCGAAGGAGTGAATTTGGTCTTGAGTTCAACAGCCCAGCGGTTAAAGTTCTGAGTCCGTGGCACCACGCGTGGGTTACCAAAGTTAGGAAATTGTCCTGGGTCGACTGGCTGGTCGTGCGTTGGCGACGCCGGAGGTGTCACAATTGTGAGTGCTGTCGAAGAAGGGGAACGCGTGTCGAGCCAAGATTGGATGATTTCTGTGTCTCGGTAGGAGTCTTCGTACCAGGTCATTAACCAGAACGAGATTACGAGTTGTTTAAGATTGTCAAAGGAGCGAAGACCTGTCAGTAAAGGATTAGTGCTGGGTGTTGTGTATGACAGGATCGGGCAACCGTTGTAGCCACATATCTTGAGCTCTTCGACTGTGGATGCATGGTGCAGGGCAATGGTTTGGAGGAGTGGTGCTTGAGGCGGCCAGCCGTAATTCGGTTCGAAGTCAAAGTCCAAGGGCATAGGGAAGCCACGGCGGTAAGCGGCTAGGATGCCAGCAAGGTCCTCATCTTCAAGGTTGTAGACGAAATCGGAACCGGATTGACCAGGGTCGATGGCTGCGAGTTGCTGCCCTCCCGCACCCCATGTGTTTCCTGCAGGGAAAGAAACGCCAATCATAACAATTTTCTTGATCGGACACCAATGTAATGCGCGTAGTAACTCTCGCTTTTCGTCACGTGGTATACCACCTTCAAGCTTGATCTGCTCTACTTTCCGCATGTGAGGTACAAATTCGTCAATGAACTTTCGTCGGCGTGTACGTTCTTGCATTTCTTCCATGGTACTACACTTAGCTGTAAGTGGCTCGCCAGGTCCTGAGTATTGCGTGTCAATGCGTAAGTCTGTCAATGTGTTTGCCAAATGCGCAACCAAAGTCCGGCATCGGTTCTGAGTGTCAACGGACGGCTTAACGTGGTTGTATATTCTGTCCATTGGCCAGCCCAGGCACTGTATCTTGGGGTGCGCCTCGAGAAATTCCAAAAACGGGCCTTCCAGCAGAAAGACGTTTTGAGGGAGTATCGTAAGCTCCAATACAGCATTGCGAATCTGAAAGGCACGTAGGTGCGGAAAGCGCAGCTTGCTGAGTGCAGACAGGAACACTTCAGCATCAGTACTCGAAGCAGAAGGCTCGGCATTCCTCCGTCGCCAATTTATCCAGTCTAGATTTAGACTGGTGAGGGTGGAAGCGGAGTTTGCAATTAGCCACTCCATTGGGGGTCTGAGGTCAAGCACGAACTGTCCAGGTGATATAGGTTCGGAATGTACCGGATTTGCATCAACGTAGTCTCTAATGTCCGAGAGTTCTTCCCACATGATCGCATCGTATGCCCTGGCCTTGTCTCTCAACTCTTGTGTTGAAGAGCGTGGCCATCGTTCCGGTAAACCCTCATGAGAGATCTGGATAGTGGTACCAACGAAACCTCCTGCTCCATTGTGCATCTGATAATATTGCCCGCCACGCGAAAGCGAAAACTCCATGAACTGTAGCTGCTGAGTTTCCGTTCGATCCGACATGTCCTTTCCAAGTCTACGCAGACGAATACTTTCAAGTCCAGTAGGGCTGTTTTGCAAAAGCCGGAACAGCTCGGTCTTGTCGAAGCAACAGCTCTCTAACCACAATTTGCGCACGGGCATACGTTGTGGGCGACTATGATCGAGGAAGCCAGCGACGAGTGCGTTTGTGAGCCTCCAATGCCCGTATACAATCCGTAGTGTGTGCACGTTGATCAAATTGGGTATCGCGAGCTTGACGAGAGTATGGAGTCGTTCATCCTGCGAGAGGTTGTCGGCGTCGAATCGCATTCGTGGGAGTTCATTGAAGATGTTCGGCGCCGGTAGGTGGCATCGATGGGAGAGTGTCTGAACTTTGGATGCGATTGCAGGGTTACTGAAACGTTAGAATGGTTTGTGTAGCAGACTTGGTGTACCTACGTCGCAAGTATGTGCAGTTTTTGGACAATAGGTGTATCGTCGTGCTCATCAGGTTCTCCACGGCCTCGCTCCCCCCACAACAGATCCGTCTCCTCGTTGAGGTGCAACTTCCATTGGTCGACTAGGCAGACGTTCTGCCACAGTATATCCGTCGCATGCTCATTGAGGGTCTGCGAGACTAGGGCGACGTGTTTGAGCGTAGGAGTGTCGAGGTAGGCGACGATGAGTTGAAGCAGCTCGCTAGGGAGAGACTGTAACTTGGAGAGGGATCAGCATCTCTCGTCAAACCAAGGCATCGAATCAAACACGCCGCATAGTCGCACAAGATGGGCATGGTGCGTCTGTAGAGCGAACCAGTCTTGTGTCGGAGTACATACAGAGAGTGGGCGACTTTCGGCCCTTGGATCTGGCGGCAACGGCGAGGTCATGACGTCTAATACAGTGCATGTAGGAGTCAGACGTGATCACAGATGCGCATCCATACAGAGGGCGAAGGTCTTAATCGCGCATGTTGAAGAGTAATGAACATTGGATGTGTGGATTCGTGAAGCCTGGGCAGTGATGTGCATCGACGCCATCGGTGGGGTCCCGCCCCCCACAGCCACCCCTGTCCACCTAGACATGTGAATGCCACGCCACCAACAACGCAGCGCGCATCGTGTTTACTCGTCATCAAACGACGATACATTGATTGCAGGAGCTTTAAGTCGGGTTGTAGACACGCCGCTGACTTCGAGCGGCTTCAAGATTCCTTCCCTGCTTTCGTCGCCGCATCCTGTTGATCTTTCGGACCCCTAATCATCCTGTACATGCCAATACTAGGCGACACATCTTTAAATCCATAAAGCGGGTATAGTTTTTGCGCTGGACCGTCGGCTACAAGGCTTACATATGCCAGAGGTGCGTGCTCGTCCACGTAGTCCAGAAGCGTCTGCACGATGCGCTTTCCCAGTCCTCTACGCTGATGATCTGGGTGCACCGCGATGTCCACCATAATCAGGAAGAGCGATCCATCGCCGACTAATCGGCCCATCGCAACAACATCCTGTGCAGGCGCAGGAGTCGTGTCGTCAAGCATGTCTTTTCGTTCGTATGCGACGATGCAGCAGAAAGAGTTCGCGAGCGACTTGGGCACAGCTTCCATTGGTGGGGGTGTCATACCGGCGAGCTTGCGGATATCGTGGTACCTTTGCGGCGTCGGTAGGCCTTCGAGGATGACATATTGTGATTCGGCCATTGTGAATAGAGATGCAATGCTTGGACTAACAATGTATTAGATCCGTAGGTGTTGGTATTAAATACGTAGCATCTCGGAGTGAAAGCGGAATAGAACGCGGCACGCCCTACGTCGGTCTTCACATCGCGACTCAACACAAATAGGCTATTCAATGTTTCTAAGTTCCGGGATACTCTCGACACGTCTACAATTCATTGGCCTCATCCGCACACATGGTTCGTCGTGGTCGCATTACGAGTGCAACACTGCACACAGTCATAGCGTAAAGAAGCAACCGCCTGCTGGTTTGTTCGTGCACTCTGGTGCAATGCTCTGATCCGCGCTGTCATCACGAATTTTCCAAGTACCCAAACGCAACCCATGCTGGAGGATCGACTAGAGATAGACAAGGTCGTCAACACGACGTTGAAAAATTTGGTAGTCAAGCTCTAGTTACAAGGAGAATATAGCATCAAGTCTGAATGTAGTACACGTGCAGACAAAAGTGAACAACAATTCTCGTTTGGTTCGTGCTGGTTGTCCAAATGCGCTGGTGTTACTCCTCAAACGTCCAAGACTATGACTTTGCGTATCGCGCACAATCGCCGAGGTCTGATGATGGAGCAATCCACGGAGAACGCGGCCCGCATGCTTCATCTATTGAGTAATCTCTTGACGTCGTGTCCAGGGAAGGGCGATATCAAGGCAGAACCAAGATTCGGCAGGATGTGTCGCACTGCAGCTGTAAAGATTACCCTACATGAGAACGAATTTGGACGACCCAAGGGCGTCCTCGAAGCTGCAAGCTTATGCGACTTCGAGATACTGTAATGCATGTGATCGTGTAGACTGCAATAAGCTCAGTCGCATGATGTAGTGTTTTTTTTTTCTAACTTTGGACGCGGAACTTGCGGGTGACGAGAACCAGGTTATTGGGTAGATGACCCACAGGATTGAGAGCGAGCTTGCAGCTGCTCATCAACCAGTTTCCTTCGAGTCAGCATCCTTTGACGATATTCGTCACCCGTGCGCTGTACTACTCAGCGGATTGGCAACCTGCCAGTGGATCTGAAGCAGAAGTGAACAAGTGGGCATCATGTAGCCTGCGCTTTGCCACGCAGCCACTCCGCTGGACCCTTTGTTGTAGTCTAGTATCTCCGTTCTCGCATTTGTAGAACCATGCGGCTGACATCGTTGACTGTCATGAGCTTGTCGGCTAGAAGCACCTCAACATCATCTTGAGAATAGTTGACCGAGTGCGGGACTGAGGCCGATGCAGACGAAACGCATCGAGTTTGCATGTCGGACAAGCGCGTACGTATCCGGATGCGGTGATATCTGCGAGGTCCTGATGCGCCAGTAACTTGGCGCAGAGATCAATCCACCTTTTTTGCTAAACGAAAGCATACTGAGGCTGGGCTTCACGAGTAAGTTGGCATGATAGTCATAGACTTGTGACAGATCGATATCTGGGAAGACACCGGCATAAAGAGTTGCGGAGACAGCTGTAGGAAATTTGTACCTGGCTAGTAAGTGGACGTAAGCCGGAAACCGCAAGTCGCGAGGCGGGTAGGCTACTTGCGTAATCCTTAGTGGAAACATATCGACTACTCCAAATAGCACACCGGGTCTATTGTTTCAAGGCGTAACATCACAAACATCTTGACTCAACACTGTTTCTGGAGACCGCGGAACGGAAACAGGCATCCTGCCTTTCTCTCGACCGGCGTTTCTGCCCTAGGCTTCACCGTCTGAAGAGGCTGACTTCGGCATGAAGGAGGTTGCAGTCGCCGATGGAGGCTGGTGGCTTGTCGTGGGTGAGACAATAGGCTCAGGGTCCAATGCAGGGTAAGATGACGTTGTGCGCAGATAACGAAGACATTTCAAACGAAAGCTGAGAGAAGACAAGAGATTGTGTAGAAGGACGAGCGTCGGACTTGCGACGTCGGCTCTCCTCACTTAGATAACCTGATGTTTGTGGCAAGGGAGCAGGGGCTTTAGGCTGAGAAGGCAGATGGGGCGGCGATCCGCGCGACTGCCGGACGATCATTGGATTTCTGGGCTGTCTCAAAATAGATTAGCCCCATGTGCGGCACGACAAACGACACCATCAGCACCGATCACTACTCTGACACGCGACGGCCACCCGTCACAACGCTGATGTTTCCAAGAGAGCCGCGCCTCTCGGATGCATTGGCAAAGTTGTCAATTCAGCTTAATCGGTCAACATCAGCTGTGTCTCTCGTGATCAGGGAATGCTCCCAGGTTCTTCGTGCAGATTTTGTAAAGTGTCACATATGCACGCAATCTGTATCTGCTTACTCCATTCTGGTAGGACACCCAACAACATCCGCTTTGCGAGCTTGAATGTCAGGTCTTCTGCTACTATCTCCGGAATGTTTGACGAGTCAGGTCTCTGCCAGCAACCAAGTAAACGTCCTTGGGCTACCCAAGTGTGCACTGCATCGTCGATGATTACTCGTTAGGACTATGGACTGCAGCGATCGTCCTAGTAATTTCCTCAAGGTCTCCCTTATCAGCTTGGTCTACAGCAAGCTAAACGAAAACGGTTGCGGAGGAATTCCAACCTATGCCTGGCTTGGCATTGATGTTGCAGTCTCAGCACAGCCAGAAAACTCCTGGTCCTTGCAGGCCACTGAGGTCGTCAAACAAGCGAGGGCACTATTTACGATCATAGCCGTCAAGCTCGTTAGAGGCCATGATCCACTCTCACGGCTCTGACACACAGCGTCCCGCGGCTGCGCGCGGAATATCGGTACTCGAAACTCCTTTCCCTGTTAGAGAATATTGACACGAGCTGGCTTACATGCCTAAGTAGTGACCGTCCGATGATGAGGCCTACAGGTTCTATATGTAGTGCTTCATGCACCCGCATTTCTCATTTGAACGCTGGACACCTTTTGTGACCCGATATTCTGGTTGTCGTCACGCTGGTAGTGATTCTTTCTGTTATTACACAGCTCGCCAGTATGGGTCTTCCTTCAATATTATTAGCGGTAGCTGTGCTGGGTGCATATGTACTATACAAGTGCTGGGATTCTTCTCGTCGGCAGAGAATACCCACAGGTCTCAAGCCTCTACCAGGACCCAAAGGTATGGCACTCTCTCCATCTGTAGATCATGTAGACAAAGCCTACAGCTGGACCCTGAAGATCATACAAGTACCTTGGCTGACGGATATATGCTAGGCTACCCTATCCTTGGCTCGGTGCCTGAGGTTCCTGAGAAGAATGGGTTCATCAAGTTCGCAGATTGGGGCAAGCAATATGGGCCTATCTATCAATGCAACTTGGCTGGTCACAACCACGTCTGGATATCTAGTGACCAGGTTGCCAAAGACCTGCTATCGAAGAAAGCAGCGATCTACTCGGACCGACCACACATTCCGTCTTTGATAGACGACAATCGCTCAAGCGCCCAATATCTTCCCCTCCTCAGCCGAAATGGTAAGGACCGTTGACAAAGGTTGTATTACCGCTGTTGCTAACGTCTAATAGAGGGTCATACTCGTCAAAGGAAATTTGCAAACATCATCATGCGCGAATCAGAGAAGGCCGCGTTCCATCGATACCCTGAAATCGAATCAACACGTATGTTGACCGAATTGCTGGATGCGCCGGACCAATACAATCATATTCTGGAGTCTTTCATCTCACGCGTCACTTGCCGGCTTGCCTGGGGTCACAGCGAAGGCAGTGATGAGCTGAAGCAACGCGCGCGCGAGCTTCTCATCGGTGTCTCACCCACTGGTTCTCTGAGCAACAAGCTTCCATTCCTTATGTCTCTCCCTGACTGGCTCTCCCCACCCAAGGCTTGGGAGAGGCGACGTGCGACCACTGAGCGTACGTGGTTCCAGACAATGCAAGAACAAGTCGTCGACGATATGCGATCAGGACAAGCCGCTCCATCTTGGATGAAGACGTTCTTGGATGGCCGCAGCAAATGGGGCTTCAAGTCCGACACAGAAGGCGCATATGCTGTAGGCATGCACGGTATCGCTGGAGCCCTCACTATCGCTGCTCCTATGCAGACCTTCTGTCTAGCCATGACACATTATCCACAGTTCTTGCCTATGTTACACGAAGAGCTTGACCGTGTCTGTGGAGACCGGATGCCACGTTCAGAAGACCGACCAAATCTTCCTTTCCTACGTGCCATCATTCGAGAGTGCATTAGATGGCGCCCCCCAGTCCCCACTGGCATTCCTCATTACCTGATCCAGGATGACGAGTACAATGGTTATCATATTCCCAAGGGTAGCACGATACATCCTTTGGAGTGGTAAGCCAGGTCAATCTCTTGGATGCATTAGAAAGCTAACTGACTTTCGCAGGGCCATCTCCCGTGATCCCGATCTTTACCCTGACCCTGAAGCCTTCAACCCTCTACGATGGATCAAACCAGAGTACCCCACCTATCAAGAGCCTCTTTCCCAATACCCGACTATAATCAACTCAACACAGTTCGGTTATGGCCGAAGGACATGCACTGGACAGGCTGTGGCTGATGAAGATCTGCTTATTGGCATCGGTGCGATTGCCTGGCTGTTTGATATCAAGAAATCACCAGCAGAATCCACTATCCCACCCGTCATGAAGTCAACGAGGACAGAATACAAGATTGGCATGAACGAGAAGGCTTCAATCTCCAACGAAGAGCTTAACGCAGGTCTAGACACAACAGACCCAACAATGGAAGAGAAGATCCTTGCGAAGTTCTCATATCCTGGATCCGACTCAGCAAACGACGTACAAGAGAAGTCGAAGGCCGCCGAGCCAGCGTATAAGCCGCTGGAATGGGGCGACATCACCAAAAAGCCCGAAGATCCGACACTCGACTACTCCATCTTGCTCATCGCGAAACCGATACCCTTCAAGTTCGATTTGAAGCCTCGCGACACTGTGCGAATGAACACAGTCCGTGGTCTCTTCAACCAGGGCGTCGAGAACGGCGATTATCCCAAGACCCGGAATTACTGGGGTCCAAACCAGGGACGGGACTTACCTGTGGGCTGGGGTAAAGTATAGGACACGTTGTTTGTGACTTGTGAGCCTGCAGATGCAGGCTTGTTTACCCTAGCACGCAGGCTGCGGATGGGGACCCGGCGCTGACCCTGCAGCGCTGATCATTGTTATATAAAGGAAACAATAGTAATTCATTTAGAGCGGGATTTGTGGGTACTGGGTGCACTCGAGGCTTTGTGTTGCTCCTTGCATGGTTTTGGCGTTGGTGGTGCTGTGGTCGTCGATAAGGGTATTACGATCTATACGTTCTTCAGCGCTTTTCTTTTGTATATCTATCTCTCCAGTTAGTTTAGCAATACCCATCTTGACAGTAATCAACATTGCCATCGCTTGCATGTGATGGCGGTGGCATAGGCTCGAAAATGATTAGAGAGCTTGCAGCCGACATCTGCCAGAAGTGGAGATTGGAATGATAGCATGCTTTAGATGAACAGACCGCAGTACGCTACGACTTGCTTTTATCGTGGTTCATTGAGTGCCGACCACCATCACGGATAATTCTTCGGCTCGCACGGCACTAGCGCAAAATATTGCTCCTAGCACGAACACCGTCTAGTCCACGCTCCCGTAGAGTGAAGACGGGACACACGTGAGGCTGGTAAACTCCAGCCACACTTGGGCATCATCTAGCCACGCCTCTGACATCACGCATCCTCGGACCGAACGGCCGCAACGCGACATCGCCTGTTCGCAAACACCAAACACGACATCTCAATGCGCCTAAGATAACTCGGTTCAGCTCACCGCGAGCTCAAGTCGCTAAAATCATGCTCGGTCTTGAATTCACCGCGACGCGTACACAGATCGCATCCTACCTCTTTGGCGTCGCTCTCTTCAGCATCAGCTTTCTCGTGTTCCTCAATAGCTCGATATCCTTCGTCATCACACAGCGCATTGGCCAGTCGCGAAACGTGGGCGATGCGGTCGGCACCCTGGGCTTCGTGGATGAGTTGGTAGCGCTCATTGCGTGTCCAGCATGGGGTTTACTGAGCGACAGGGTTGGCGTGAGGAGTGTTGCGGTCATGGGGTATAGTATTGTAGGTGTTGCGTTATGGGTACTTGTGCAGGCAAAGAATGTGTACCCACAGTTGTTGCTTGCGAGGGTGCTGTTTAGTCTGGGTGGAAGCGCGACGTAAGTTCTGAGGACTTGGGATGCTCAGACATGAGAGGCTAACATCTGACCAGCGCGACTATGGTCACGGCGATTCTGCCCTCGATGACTATTGTCAAGGAAACCAAACCTGATCCGCGGTCGCCGACACAAAGTCGTGGTAGATCGCATGCGCCGGCTGCTTCGATATCGTCCGAACTCACCATTACGCCCGCGCGTTTCCGATCAAACTCCCCGGAAGACCATACACAAGACACGTCCTTGAAGAAGGACTCGGGCGTATCCACGTCACAACTTGCCGGGTTAGTGGGCATGTTCACAGGATGCGGTGCCTTGGTCGCATTGTTCGTTTTCCTACCTCTGCCAACACAATTCCAAAATGCTGGCGAGCGTCCCGCAACAGCTGTGGCAGATGCTTTCTATGTTGTAGGAGCCATTGCTCTTTTTGTGGCACTGGGCTGTTTCTTCGGCCTGCGCCAGCTGCCTGGCGAAGAAGCGAAAGGCTGGAAACGCCTTACTAGCAAAGGCGACTACAAAGACGTAGACAGCCATCTGACACGCGACGTTGTGTTATCTTACCCGCGTCTCTTTCTGGAAAGTGTTCGTCTTGGTTTCACTTCGCCAAACATCGGACTCGGCTACGTAGGAGGATTCGTCGCACGAGCATCATCAGTCGCTATATCGCTCTTCATACCCCTGTTCACAAATCACTATTTCCTGCAGACCGGCCGCTGTAAAGTGGAGTCCAACATTCCTTCCGATATCAAAGTCGCTTGTCCCGAAGCCTACAAACTTGCAGCCATGTTGACGGGCATCAGCCAGCTCATAGCTCTCATGTCTGCACCCCTCTTCGGCTACCTTTCCGGTCGTTTCCCTCGCTACAACATCCCTTTGCTGGTAGCGGCTATGTCTGGAATTGCAGGCTACTCTGCATTCGGATCACTCACAAGCCCGGACTATAAGAGTGAAGACGGCACAGGTGCGATCTTCTTCATCGTGGCGTTACTAGGCATTAGTCAGATCGGCGCCATCGTTTGTTCCCTTGCCTTACTCGGCCGTGGCATCAACAATGATGAACACCCCTCAACAGCCACCTCGGCATCTGTGTCCGTGAACGGAACAACGTCGCATCCATCTGCAGGCGCTACACCGCCACACAGCGCACCCATCACCCCCTTGGACGAAAACGCTCCTTTGCTTCCAGAGCACATACACTCCTCGCGCTCTGCTTCCGCCTCAAGACGAGTTACATCGCACAACCACATTAAAGGCTCGATAGCAGGGACTTATAGTCTGCTGGGTGGCTTTGGTATCTTACTACTGACTAAAGCCGGTGGTGCATTGTTTGATAGCACGGGGCCTGGCGCGCCGTTCTACATGATGGCAGGGTTTAATGCACTGCTTTTCGTGGTTACGATTGTTGTTAGTGGACTGCAGGGCGCCAGGAGGTGGAGGACGGTCGTGTGGGGGTCTTAGAGTGCGATGTGCCACATGGCCATGTGTAAGAATCATGTATCGATGCAATGGGATGAGGCATTTGATGACTTCCTCCTGGGAGGAGGAAGTATATACCCTCTTACGATGATATCGGTATCTCACTTTTGTCATCCATAGTTTGTCGTGATCAAATGCCGCAAGTGACTTTCATATATAGGCCTGTGCAATTGCTCAACAGTTGGAAGTGAATAAAGTATCCTTCTCGATATCCACATGATCATATAATGATGCAACAGGACCCTATATCCTAGCACTATCCAAAACACTTCGCACACACATAAGCAATAGTCCTGGGTATCCTAGTCTATAAGCCAAACAAACTCAAGTCCAATGTCAAAGCCCCCAAAGTACTTCACTTCCCACCTGTCTAGCCCATCTTTCCCAGGACATCCCCCCAATCCAGCACATCAACCTTTTTCCTTGGCGGCAACACATCAGCAACAGTTGGTCTACCAGCCAGATTCTGTGGCCACTGCTTATTGCCATCGACCTATACATACCTTAGCCCAAAGATTTTTCAGATGGTTTGTTTGAAGCTTTGTCACTCCTCGTGGGCGTGGGACTCACTGCGGTGCTGCCAGTTAGGGATGTAATACGCTGATAGCCGAAGTAGAAGTCCTTGAATTTATCGCGAGAATTGCCCTGATCGTCAAGCTTAGGGTTTGGATATTTCGACTGCGGTCGTGATGAAGATGCGGGCGAAGCAGGTTGGACGCGGCTTTTAGGGCGGATATGTGGGTTCGCCGGGAGAGAATGGCGCGGGCGAGACGAGTTGCCGCTGACGCGATCGTGTGTAGATTTCCTGGGCTGTTCGAAAGCACCTGGCAACGACTTCCTAGCAGGCTTCGGCTTCTGAATAGACTGAGGTGGTTGTCTAGGTCTGCTAGTCTCTGTACGTGCAACACCTAGCTCCTCCAGTGCTCTTTGTAATGTTTTCGTATTCTGAATGATGCCCCGCGTGTACAGCGTGTTGCGAATGTTATCTTTGTAGAAGCGGTAGTACGGCTCAGGGTTTTCTCCTTGATCAATACAGTCCATAGCGTACTGGCTATAATCTGTCCTATTACGGATGATAAAATCGTCCCACTGCCATTTTGGCACCATCTTGTCTTCTTGTTCCAGCTGGTACATCTGATTGCATTGATTCTCAAAGTGCTTCTCATTGCCGTTATACTCTGGATATGCCGCCTTGAAGGACTGGAAGACTGTCATGTTGCTATCTTCATCTATATCCTCGGATGATATCGACAAGGGTTGGGCATGTGTCGGAACTGGCCCGCGTGTCTGAGTATCGCTTGGATGAGCTTGGAAGGAGGCGTGCGAATGAGATGGCTGAGGCGCTGGGCTTGCAATGGGCTGTGCTCTTCTGGGGCTAGGTTCGTCGTAAAGACCTTGGTGTCGAGGAGATAGGCTAGAAGATGGCTCCCTCTTTGTCACTTGATCAAAACCATCGATCTCCATGATGTCCGAATCATCATCAACGGTAGGCTTGCTTTCAAGCTTGGGTTGATTCTCAAAGCTTGTTGTGCTTGAGTTACGTTGCTCTCGAAATCTGCGCAAGGATTCTTCCCGATCTGTGCGCAGTGAGCCTACTAGGTCAACATTAGACGATACATCATCTCCGAAGCCGACGATCTTGATTTCTCGCCTTTTAGGTTGCCGTCGACTGCTTTTCGTTGGCGAACCAACGAGCTTACGTTTGGTAGGTTGTGAGGGGTGATGAGGTACCGTCGGTGATACATCCAAGTCACCATTGTTCTGAGATAAGTGCGCCGAGTATGGGGTTGCATGCGACGCAGATGTAAGCACACCCTCGCTATCCAGGCCATTGGGTAATTGTCGTGGAGCTACAATAACACGAGAATTTTCCTTGTTGAGATCTTGTGCGGCTGGAGACATGTCGAGCATCTCTACATCTTCGACATTATCGGTAACCACATCCTTGGCCTTGCCATGATGTACTTCAACTTCCTTGCGCTCACTGCCTATGTCTTTTTCTTGTGTATGCGACGGATGCCGCTTGAAATCTTCGAAGTTTCCGACGTCAGCGAGATCAGATAGACTAGGCGTATCATATGTACTGTGAACTATTGAAGTAGATGACGTCGGTTTCGACGCGCTACTTGACTTTTGTGCATTTTTAGGTTCTGAGGCATTCTTGCCTTTGCCGTATGGAGTTTCCTTTACGTGGATTATCGGAGAACGTAGGGAAACAGCATCTGGAAGCTTGTCGATCGCTGATGGTGGTTGTTTTCGTTGTGCAAGGTCTTCTCCCAAGGCCTGTGGAACAGACTCTTCCATCTCCATTTCCTCATCAGAATCGGCAGGTGCAGCAGGAACAGGCGGCGAAGATGAGAGACCGGTTGGATTGTCATCATGTGAATGAAATGCTTGCTTCTCCATACTTGAGTCCGGGGGGAGTGCCTCTTGAGGCCTCGGCAGACGTTCTGGTGGCTCTGGAGAGGATTCCCAGGTCACCTGACTAGCTGTATCATCGTCTTCCTGAGGAGTTGCAGGCTCCTCATCTTGCATATTTGGGGCTATAGATTGGGGCGATGAATCAGGGCTTTCTGGCGACGGATCTGCGTCTGACTCACTATCGGTTTCAGCAGCAGCTCTCTCGTCAGCTATTAGGTGGATGTTCTTGAGTATCGAGTAGGGCATATTTCCATTTTGGAAAGGCTGCACCCCAGGTGGAGGTTTTAGCCAACTAGTCTCTTTGCTCAGACATTGCGCCTGACTTCTCGGTACCTGTAATGTCTCGCTGTTGAAGACCAAGTCTTTCATCCAAGAGCACTCAGGTAGCTTATCACTACTGTCTTCAATAAGGCTTTGTTGGGTGTCTTGCTCTTCGACTCGAGAGTGTTCGGCAGCTTTTGCAACTTTAGGGGAGATATCCCCTACTTTTTTGACCATCTTCTCATAGTTTGGCGCAGATGACGCAGGCTCTCCATTCTCAACTTCTGTTTCAAGCTGTGTTGGTTGCTGATGCGATGGATCTGATGGGGATCCAGGAGATTCATCCGCGGGTAACGCAGGTGCATTTTGCGGCTTCCTGAAAGCGTCCTGTACAAAATTTGACCCAGAAGTTGTGGCGCGTGTGCTGGCGCTGGACTTCGGGCGCAGGTTTAATAGGTTTAGCAAATTATTGCGTTTCTCAAAGTCGGTATCGGCAGCGCCTGGTCGTATTTCGACTCGTTGCGTGTCCCCAGCCATTACCGGCTCCAGCCTGTTCACTCCTATAATCTGCGGCTCATCTTCGCTTGCCCGTGGACGTGAGTGTTGTGGTTTTTGTGTTGCAAAGGATGCTTGGGTGTCTTGCATCTGGGAGTGAAGCGCATTCCGGTCCGACATATTGTTGTTCTGACGCGTAGCATCTACGGCAGCGTCGTCTTTTGCCTCTACGTCTGCCCCTTCAACACCGGGTGCTAAGCGCCGGCGGTCTTCGAGCGCGCGGATATGGCGCAGCTGCTCTAGCAAAAGCCCAATCTGCTTGCAAGCGTGTAGCGATCGTAAAGTTGCGCTGCCCTGGGTTTGCAGTAGTTCGCAACTCTCGCCTAGCCAATCAATCTGGTTGAGCACCAAGCGCAGTCTTTCGGGAGGCGGCCCGTATGAGGTGAATCGGACAGTGTATTTTCGGGCGGCTATGGTAGTGCCTGCGGTCAGGTGTAACACAGTGGGGTGTCGCTGTAAGAAGTCCCGAGCGCAATCAGGTGTAAGGTGAGAGACTACTTGATTCCGGCCGTCAGAAAGCGTAAGTGGAGAAACCTGAGGTATTGAAAGTTAGGTCAGAGAGCCAGAGGTAGTGCGCAATCACATGCCTTGAGGACCTGCAGTGTGCAGTTGTGTTCGGGGTCAGGGTAATTGATAGTATCTAGAGACGAGCCGTTATCGTGGTACGCGCTTCGCTGTCTGTCTATTTCCTGCCTGCTACGAGATTTTTTCTTCTCGTGTTGGTCCTGGAGCCATTGGTTACCTAGCAGTAGCTGTGACTCGAATGCGTCTTCAAGCCAAGCGGTGAGACGAATGGCCATAAAATGTGAGCTCCAGGCGCGAGGGGAAGACGCGACGCGTCTGGTCCCGGCGAGATGCGTGCAGATGGAAGACAACAAGCCGTGTGCGGGGTAAAGGAAACAACATGGTACAAGTCCAGATGGATAGGAACAGCAGCTGGTGTTCCACTTGGTTTCAGCGCATTCACGTCTTGTGCGACCTTTCACGGCGGCTGCATAGCTGCATCTCGTAGCCAAAATGCGCCCATGCCGAGGGACGTGGGGGGCGGAGGTGCAAGCAGACCTCAGGCGGAAACTCTTGGCGGCTGCGCGTCATCGCCCGCCGCGTATCTTGCATACCTAGCTTGCTGTATGCACCTCGTGATGCTTCAGCTACCCGAGCCGTCGAAGCTTCCCGTCGATGCCTGGAGTTTTCTTTGCAAGTTCCATGAAGCCACTCATCTGGCCTCCCTCGCTACTGGCCGAACAAGCAATACACGTGTAACGAGATTCTAGACATTGTCGACTCCACCTCGCCCACTACCAGACCGTGTTCCCCCATGAAGCCTGATGCTGTCCTTCACTGATCACTGTCGGACGCCGCTCGGCCTCCAAATATCCGACACACTCTACCTCACTCGCAGACGCCCAATCCCCTAACAGCAGCCATGTCTCGAGACTCGCGGCGGGGGTCGTTGCAGCCGCCTTCGCTCTACCAGATGCATGCCACGGCATCACGTTCCGACACGCTTACCACCTTTGACGACTTTACCGTCCCTCCAGCCCCGAGCTCGGTTGGTGAACCTAAAGGCATAGACCTCGTGCAGGGCGGCTTCAGCGGGCTGTATAGTCGCCTCAGAGCGTCAGTGGGCGGCGTCAGGGAACAATCTCAAGATGGCCGGAGTACAACTTCACCAGCGTCTAAGTCTGCGGCAGTCCACCGTAGCCCAGGAGGACCTTCCATATCTTCGCCCGTAGTCACGTCTA